CTGCTATAAACATGGGTGCACATACTTCTCTGTGATATGATTCTTTTAGTTCTCTTGGAAAGATACCCAGCAGAGGGATGGCTGGGTCAAATGGAACCTCCAGTCCAAGCTCTTTGAGGTATCTCCATATTGATTTCCATAGTGGTTGCACTAGTCTGCACTCCCACCAACAATGGAGAAGGGTTCCTTTCTCCCCACAACCCCGCCTACTTTTGTTATTGTGTGATTTCTTGATAGCAGCCATTCTTTGTGGGGTGAGGTGGAATCTCAGTGTTGGTTTTTCTTTAAATAAGACAAGATCCCAGTTGGTGATTCTTTGTGCTAGTTCCCGTGCTACTGAAGATTTGTTCATAAAGTCTTTTCCTATGCCAATGTCTTTGAGTTCTACTTAACTTATCTTCCAGCCAATTTAGTGTTATTGTGTGATTTCTTGATAGCAGCCATTCTTTGTGGGGTGAGGTGGAATCTCAGTGTTGGTTTTTCTTTAAATAAGACAAGATCCCAGTTGGTGATTCTTTGTGCTAGTTCCCGTGCTACTGAAGATTTGTTCATAAAGTCTTTTCCTATGCCAATGTCTTTGAGTTCTACTTAACTTATCTTCCAGCCAATTTAGTGTTCATGTTTTAATATTTAGATCTTTAATCCACTTGGATTTTAATTTAGTGCATGGTGAAAGATAAGGGTCTAGTTTTAATCTTTGGCAGGTTGAGATCCAGTTTTTCCAGCACCATTTATTAAAGAGGCTATCTTTCCTCCAGTGGGGATGGTCTGCTTCTTTGTCAAAGATGAAGTAGCTGAGTACATCTGGAGTTGCTTCTGTATCTTCTAATCTATTTCACTGATCCTTAGGTCTTTTTCTTTGTCGGTACCATGCTGTTGTTAACATAGTGTGTTTGTATTATAGTTTCAAGTTGGTGATTGTGATACCCCCTGCCATGTGTCTGCTGCCCAGAGTGGCTTTTGCTATTCTAGTTCTCTTCTGATTCCAAATGAAGTTTTGGATTGTTTTCTCTACTTCTGTGAAATATACTGTTGGGATTTCATCAGGATTGCATTAAATCTGTATAGTAGTTTTAGAAGTATGGCCATTTTCAGTATGTTGTTTCTTCCTACCAAGGAGCAAGGGGATGTCTTTCCATTTTTGGATATCCTCTTCTATCTCTTTTTTCAGGGTAGTATAGTTTTCAGTGTAGAGGTCTTTTGCTTTGTTTGTTATATTGATTACTAGATATTTCATTTTTTGAGTGCTATTATTAGAAGAATTATGTCTCTTAATTTCTCTGTCAGTGAGCCTGTTATTTGTGTACAAGAAGGCTATTGATTTTTGAGTGTTGACTTTGTATCCAGCTACCCTGCTGAATCTATCAATTAAGTCTAGAAGTCTTTTGCAGAGTTTTTTAGGTCTTCTATGTAGAGTATCATATTGTCTGCAAATAGTGACAGTTTAACTTCTTCCTTTCCCATCTTCATTGCTCTTAATTATTTCTCTTTTCTAATTGCTCTGGCTAATGTTTCTAGAGCCATACTGAACAGAATTGGTGATGGTGGACATCCTTGTCTTGTTCCTGATTTTAGCATGAAGGTTTTCAGTTTTTGACCATTTAGTATGATGTTGGCTTTTGATTTTTCACAGCTAGCCTTTATCAATTTGAGATAAAGGTCATCTATTGCAATTTTCTGCTGAATTTTTATCATGAATGGGTGTTGATTTTGTTGCATGCTTTCTCTGCATCTGCTGAGATGATCATGTGGTTTTTGCTCTGTTAATATAGTGTATTGCATTTATTGATTTATGTATGTTTTACCATCCTTGCATCCCTGGGATAAATCCCACTTGATCCTGTGTATTCTATTTGCCGGTATCTTATTGAGGATTTTTGCATGTATGTTCATTAGGGAGATTGGCCTATAGTTCTCGATTTTGGTTGGGTCTCCCTGGTTCTGGAATCAAAGTAACACTTGCTTCCAGGAATTAATTTGAAAGTATTGCTTCCCTTTCAATTTCATTGAAAAGTTTAACGAATTGTGGCAATAGTTCTCTAAATGTTTTGTAAAATTCAGCTGTGAAGCCATCAGGACCTGGGCTTTTCTTTGTTGGTAAATTTTTAGTTACATTTTAAATTTCACTGATTGTAATTCTGTGTTTAGAATTTTTTATCTTCTTTGTTCAACTTTAGTAATACATAATGTATTTGTGTTTCCATTTTATT